TACCTTTTATTGTTTTCCATAAAACATGCAAAGTAACTGAAATTAACTTCATCAACCCCCCCCACCCCCCCCCCCCCCCCCCCCCCCCCCCCCCGCCGGCCATACTTCAAAGCATTCCCTGAGGCCTGGTTTACGTTCCAACCGTCACAACTGTGTCTGGCTAGTCCCTCTGAACTTTGCATTTCTCTACATGATAACTACTGACCACAAAAGGCTGAGCTCAGAGACTATCTCCCTTGGAGAACTTTCCAGTTCCCCTCAATTTAGTGCATTGGTTTTACGGGGGAAGCACTTGCTGTGAGCCAGAGGCCATACTGGACCTCTAGACTGCAATGAACCTTAAAATGTCCTGTGAACCATTTGCTTGCCTTGGAACCTACAAATGCTTCCACGGGATTGCTCTGTGTTGGGAACCTGGTATCCACCTCTTTCGTTTTACATTTTAAAATTCTGCTACGTCTATGAGCACAGAGTTGGCCTTCATCGTATATTTAGTGAATGAATAAATAACATAATTTTAACAGCTATCAGAGGAACTTTTATCATGTATATTTCCATGTATAGACACATCTACAGAAATCTCACTGTAATGATTTAACACCAAAACACAGGCAGCTGTCTCAGTGGCCAGCAACAGCAGGATGGTGTGTCCAAACAGTGGAATGCTCACTGCTTTCGCTGTGCATGTCCAGGCAGGAACATGAAAGGCCTTAATGGTGAGCCTCTTCCTTTTTTGAGATTTTTTTAAAAAAAACTTTATGTAGATGAGGGATGAGTGTGTCTGAACGTATGCTTGTGTATCATGTGCAAGTAGTGCCTGAGGATGCCAGAAGAGGGTGTCGGATCCCCTGGGACTGGAGTTACCGATGGTTGTAAGCCTCCATGTGGGTGCTGGGAACTGAACTTAGGTCCTATCATAATAAGAATAATCAATGCTCTTAACCACTGATCTATCTTTCCAGTCCCATAGAAGAGCTTATTTTCAAAAGCCCCAGCGACCTCCTTAGGTCAAAGCCTGCATTTGCCTGGCTGGGGCTGTTTGTGCTCACAGGGTTCACGGGAGATGATAAAGCCAGAGCCTTTGCTGAAGAGAGGAGCATCCCTATTGCGTGCCCAGCACCAAAAGACCCTCCTTCTGCCATTTCTGCTCCCTTTCCTCCTTGTCCTCCTTAGCCTGTCTTCTTCCTCCTCCCCTTCTCCTCTCCAGGCCTCCTGTCTTTCCTTGTCTTCTTTTTCCTCCTCTTCCCTTACCTCTCCTTTCTCCACTTCCTTTACCCTCACCTGGGCAGCCTGCTTAGGGAAGGAGACAGTTCCCTTGCTATTTTAAACACCTCTCTCTTCCCCATGAATTGAAGGAAAATACGTTCAGATTTGGTTTTTGGAACTGGATGACCCAGGCTGCTTGGATGAAAAATGGCCAACTTTGTCACTGGACTCAGATCTTCTGTGAATCTGTCTCTGAGCTCGGACTAACCACAGTCTTTCCCTGTTACTCTCCAGGGTGGGCTTTGGTGGCTCCCTTGTTCAGGTTCTCTGTGGTTCATGTATGGTTAGGGGACTGTCAGCACACCTCTAGAACGGGGCTCAGGTCTTCTGGCTTTTCCTGAACTCGCTGAGGTCAGTACAACTTTTAATGAATGACAGAGGGGATATAAAAACATGACAGCCGATTTCCCTATAGGCTTTGCTTCCTCCTCAGTTCCCAGCCCACAGCTGAGCTTTCCTGTAAATACTGGATTCAGCCTCCATCAGCCCTTCCTCCATCACCTCCATTCTCTGTCTCAGATCCTAGTGCCCCTCTCTTGCTGGGAAGTCTTCAGGCATGCCCTCTCCTCCTCTTGACAGAAAGACCTATCCAATCCTCCCACCCTCGAGTCCCACATCCCCTGGGTTTCTTTCTGTGGTCTTAGTCAGTGACATCTGCCCTCTTCTCATCATCCTGAAAAGTAACTCAGGTAGTTAGACTAATATAGTAGTTGTGTGGTTGTTGTTGTTGGTGGTGGTGGTGGTGGTAGTGGTGGTAGTGATGGTGGTGTGTGGGTAACTGGAGATTGAGTCTAGGACCTTGCACACACCAAACAAGTGCTTCACCACTAAACTATATTCTTACTTTGGCTTTTGTTTTTAGGGTTTTGGGGTTTTTTTTTGGTTAATTTTTGAGACAGGGTCTCACTAAGTCAGCTTGAACCTACAACCGTCTTTCCTCCCTCTCTCAAACCATCTGACTCACTGATACAATGAAATTTGAGTGTCTCGTCCTTGGGCAGTGGTAAAGAATTTTTTTTAAAAAAAAAAAGAGAGGACAATGCAGTGAGAGAGGGCTTCAGGACCAGGGTCATCAAGTGTGCACAAGACCACAGCAGAGCCAGGACCACATCTGGGTCTTCAAGCCTGGGGAGGCTTCGGATCCTAATTTTACTGCTTTGCTAGAGACTTGGAAAATGGTCCTGGGGTTCACAATTTCCCATGAAATGTTCTGACCTTCTCAGGCAGAGTTACTTACCATGGAGGCAAAGATAGGCAGGAACAGGGTAGTGGTAGCCACATTACTTGTGCACTCTGTTGTCATAGCAACAAGACAGGACAAGATGAAGGTAATGGTGGCAGGTCTCACTGAGCTCAAGGGCTCCATCTGTCTTGCCATCCACTCAGAGAGCCCAGAGACCTGGAAAGCACAGAATGTTATCATTTCGGGGCTCCGGGTTTACAATTCCTCCAGGGTCCAGGGAGCTCAGTCCACCCCATGTCCAGTTCTCTCACATTCACATAAGTAATCTGATACATCCTTATAATTTTCATCCTCCTCAACCTTTTGGTTCCTACAAGTTTGCTTGTGACTCAACTGGTCTATTAACTAGATTCAAACATCAGATGTTATCTGAAAGTTCCTGTCCAAATGTCCTGTGAGCACATCAGGCTCAACAGGGCCCAATCTAGGTTCCTCTTCTTCAGTCCAGAATCAGCTTCTTCTTCTGGGATCCCTAGCTAGTGAATGGATCCACCTGCCACTGCTGCTGGGAGTCATATAGTGAAGGGTTCATGACCTGCTAATTCCTGGTACTCAGCCACAAGTCACCCTAGATGGCTCTTACCCACCTTCTCCCCTTAGTCTTCCACATGCTCCAGGCTTGGAAGAATGATCTGGGCCACTGAGGATTTAGCCTTGGTACTCTTGGATGGGATGACAAGAGCAAGAAGCAGATGAGAGGCCAAGGGCGGAGCCTTAGAGATGATCACATGTGTGGGAGAACTGAAGAAGAGCCAGCAGAGGAGGCTGGGGAGGAACAACGGAAGGAGGGAGGCAGAAGAAAGAGGTAGCCTGGGGATCACATGGTGGCGAGTGTTAAGGAGGAAGTGGCCAGGTTCAGAGGAGGTGTCAGATGAAGACCGAGAGCCCACTGGTTCTTCTCTAGCCCTGTTGGCTTCAGATTGCCACCCCACACTCAGGATGGCTGCTCTCAAGCGGACATCTGAGTCAAGTCATTCCTGGCTGTTTTTCTTTGCCTGCTCTCCTGAAACCAGAGCCTTAGAATACAGGCTTCTGCCGGCCTCTCCAACCTCAGTGCCTCAACCATGTACCTCTTTGATCTCCTGTCACTTCTTTCCAAAATGCCCTTGTAGCTGCACCTGAGTCTCTAGGCCTTGAAGTCTTCAACAACAGATACTACGTCTCAGTGTCCTCTATAACTTCTGTGCCTGTTCTATCGCTAGGAACATACTAGGAAATGTTGATAAGTGAGAGAAAATGCCAGCTGGAGAAACAAATTAGTGGGTGGAGGAATGGTGGCGAGAGAAGTAGCTAGACTGGTGGGTTTGTCCATCTGAAACATGTATTAACTTATATAAATATGTAATCTATATATCAGGCTGTGGATATCCCCAGCACTAAAGAAATGGCATGCATGTATTCACTGTGCACCAGGCTTTGTCCTAGATGCTAAGTAAACCAGCACAATACAGACCAGTCTAGTCTATCCGTTACATTATGTTCCTGGATGGATGGAAAGATGGTTGGATGTGCTGAGTGGATGTATACATGGATAGTAAGAAAGGAAGGAAGAATTAAGAAAAATAAGAAGGAGGAAGGAAAGAAGAAAGGAAGAGTGAATGAGTGGGATGGGATGGATAGAAGGGAAGGAATGGAGAGAAAGGGGGAGAAAGGGAGGGAGGAAGAGAGAGAGAGAGAGAGAGAGAGAGAGAGAATGGGACAGATGGATGGGTGATAGCAGCCCCAAGCTAGCTCAGCCCCTTCTGCTCTGGAAATAAACTGCATTTTCCCTTAAAAGCTGTTCTTCTCCTATGCTGCTAAGTACTTAGCTAGAGAGAAGTTTTGAAATTCTGAAACCGTGTCAACAAGGAGTTCAGAAAGTGGAGGACCCTAAGGACGTGGTGAGAACACTCAGGAAGATTCGAGAGATTTTCCTAGGATTCATCAAGGCCACAGTGTCCTCAGCTTCTCCTGCTTCCCTGCTTCCCCCTTCAGGACACTGTTCATGGTAACAGCACAGAGTCCCATGCTTAAAGAATATGCAACTCTGTGGTGGGGACAGATAGCCCAGGGATGGGAGGGGTGGATGGTGGCGTTTGCCACCTCTCAGTAGAATTTAAGGGCCATCTAGAGCTGGACAAATACCTCACATCCTTTGGCCATAGCAAATCCTCCCCCCAAGAGCAGCACTATGTTCCAGGGCACTTTCTCCTGGGTGAACTTCCAATCCAGCAGTGGTGGGGGGTAGAATGGAGTTTTCATTTCTGTGAAGAAAAAGAACACACATGAACATGTGTGCATACATGCCTTAGAAATCAAGAGATGTAATCAGAAGAAATAGGCCAATAAAGATGATGGGGTACCAGTGCATAATTGCAGTTAGCTAAAGTTTGTGATAATCGCTGTACCTCTTGCTGGGGAGGATTTGGTTACATTCTTGGCTGAGGACATAGTAAGTCAGAACCACCTTTTTGAAAAGCCATTTGGTCATATATTATTAAAAACTGTTAAGTATTTAAGGGCATCTCCATTCTTTTACCATGACAGTAGCACTGCTAAGAATTTAGTCTGAAGAAACACCTTCAAAGAAAAAGCCATATCCAGAATATTTAACTTACAATGAAAAGTTCAGGGCTAGTGAGATGGTGAGATGGCTTAGGGAGAATAAAGGTACTTGTCACCAAGCTCCAACCAACTCCCAAGAGACCTCCACACTTGCACCTTGGCGCTCTCTCTCTCTCTCTCTCTCTCTCTCTCTCTCTCTCTCTCTCTCTCTGTGTGTGTCTGTCTGTCTGTCTGTCTGTCTCTCTCTCTCTGTCTCTCTCTGTCTCGATCTCTCTCTCTTTCTCTGTCTCTCTCTGTCTCTGTCTCTCTCACACACACACACGGGGCGGGGGGGAGTAAGTTAAAAATTTTAAAGAAAAAAAGTGCCAAAATACTCCACAGCAGAAGTCCCTCAGCTGCAGGCTCCCTCTGTGTGATAAAGTATTGAAGAAGGTCAATTTGGTAGCTGTAGCATAGTGGGAACGTTTCCAGTGAAATTCCAAGCCAATAAAATGCAAAACAGCAAAGGGGCAGGGTTCCAGCTGTGTGTGCTTAGATGCCAACTTTATAGTATATATGCATATCACAAAAACAGGAAGAAAAATATTGACATCATTATGGAGAATTTGAAATACTTTTCTGTGTCTATTGTGATGTATAAGTAAGATTTCAAGTATTGAAATGCAAAAGAAAATCTACACATGTTGAAGCTCTCCATTTCCCTAGGCTTTGTAATGTAACCAGTCATGTTGAACAGGACAGAATTCTCTGCCCGCTAGGCTCAGGGACCCTCCCATAGGTTCCCTATGCTCTCAGGACCCCAGTCATGATGGCTGTAAAGTCATGAGAGAAGCCTTACCTTCCTCAGTCTGGCTGCTGAAGTTGAACTTGGGCTTCTGTGAAGGTACAATGAAAAGCAAGATGGCCACAAAGATGGCCACTGTGGCATCAGTGACATACCTACGTAGGGAAGCACACACAGGAACTCAGTGATAGTCATACGAACTGCCCCGACCCACAGTTCTGTGTCTAAATGCTCCTTTAGGCGGAAATGGGCTCTGCTAGGTATGAAAACCAGAGGCCCCAAAAGCAAGGTTAGGAGTGGGTGGGAGACTGAGTCTGGCTAGAACCAATACCCTGAAAAACTTGACTACCAACTTTGGGTGATCACCCACCCCCCAGAGTCGCATTCCCTGCCCGCCCCGCCCCCCCATCAGCCTACACTGCTTCATGAGTGAACTTCATGATTTCCTAACCAGGAGATTTAGACTTCTGGATTCACTGGAGCTCACAGACTGCTCGGCCAAGCCGAGTAACCAAGATGGAGTAGCCAGCTGCAGGCAGCCACTTCCCAGTTCACATCTTCTGCCTTTGCCAGGATAGTCATTCCTCAACCTTTCTTATATGCCGTTCCATCAAAGCCAGGGAGAATCCACATGTACTCCCACCCACTAAGTTTGCAAGTAACCTTGATGCATCTTAGAGAGATTCTGAAGAAAGTTAAGAAAGTAAGATGGCAGAAACCATGGCTCTAAGGGACCTACTCCAGTCCGATAAACTATCCAGGGCTCTGGCCACCCTGCTAACCAAGCATTTTTCGTTCAGCCCTCTGAGGGACATGCGGGAGGCACGGGAAACAAAGACATCTACAACTCTCACTATCAAGATTGACAGAAGGGGGCTGGAGAGATGGCTCGGTGGTTAAGAGCGTTGCCTGCTCTTCCAAAAGTCCTGAGTTCAATTCCCAGCAACCACATGGTGGCTCACAACCATCTGTAATGAGGTCTGGTGCCCTCTTCTGGCCTTCAGGCCCACACAGAATATTGTATACATAATTAATTAATTAATTAATTAATTTAAGAAAAGACTGACAGAAGAAGAACGAAGCCCACGGGATGTCCCTCTAAAGCCCAGCTCCAGAACAATAGGGCCCAAGGTGCACCCTCCTGTTGCGGCCTGTTACTGAGAGCAGCGGCACTTAGACAGCAGATCCTAAACTAAGGTCTTCCTCTACAACGACTTACCTGGTATTCCCATTGACCCAGGCAATGGACAGCCAGCCAGGTACGAAGCCGGGGTCTCGGGAGAACCAGAGGATGATGAGCAGAACGAAGCAGAAGAGCACATTGCATTCGGCATAGGTCAAGGGCCCCAGCTTCCTGTACTCCTCCTGCAGCACCTTGTAGGCAACCTTCTCGTTGTTCCTCTTCTTCAGCCCACAGCAGATGCAAGATGCTTTAAGTCTAGACCACGTAAGGATGAGAGGCTAGCAGGGCAGATGGAATGACTAAGGGGCAGCTGAGCTAGAGTCTGGCCTCGCCGGCTCGCAGCAGAATGCTGTGTCCTGAGGGGCCCAGCCCTCCCTCTTTCTTCCTCTGATTTTCATCTGCTTCCCCAATCCTCCCAGATCATCTTAGGGAGAGACGGTTGAAAGGTAGGGGCTGAAGACCCAGAGCACAACCCCAGGAAAGCACACCCCCAAAGCTGGGGGTGAGGTGGCACAAAGGGGGTGTAGCACCGTGGCAGCCAGGTCACAGGGACAGAGGTAGACGGAAAGGAGAGGTTACAGGGATGTGTGGGAGAATAACGTTAATCGTGTTCCCTCAGCAGAGCTGATGGAGCTGTTAGCAGAGGGGAGATTGACTGTGCTCTAGGGTCCCCAGGGAGAAGGTTAAGGGAAGTTCTACAGCCTGCAGGATCTCACAGCATCCTCACACGATCCCCAAGCTTTCCTCTCCCCACCACAGCCTGGAACTGCCTTCCATGGTGCTGGGATCTCGCCCCCATCATGAACAGTTCCGGAAGGTAGGAGAAAGGAGAGGGCCCTGACAGAATTGGCCAGATGGGTGTAGGCCAGACAGGGTAAAGGTAGAGGTGTAGGACTCAGGAGACCATGGTAGGGAGCAGCTACAGCTCAGACAGGAAGGAAGCCAGCCTAGGCTCTACTTCAGGGTGTTCCACTGGCAAATGGGCCTGCCAGAGTGGCTTATACGGCCTCCCCTGGGGAGATGCTGGCTTGAAGTGGCAGGAAGGAGGGGAATTTTTGGAGAAAGGCGATTGGACTGCATGGAGCAGGTAACTGGAGCCAGTAAAGAATGAAAGGCAGGCCCCAGGTTCTTCTCAGTGGGTGTGTCCCACATATGTCCCACCTCTGTTGGTCTCAAAGCAGAGGAGCAAAGCCAAGAACATTGTCCCTGGGGAGTTCTCCCCTCTAGAACCCTTCCAGGACCCAGCACAAAATTCATAGGAGGGTTGAGTTGACAGAAAGCGTTTGGTGCCCACAGCCATGTTGGATGTGAACCACTTTTGAGGGCAATGTCAGTGCCAGGGACATGGCTGACCCCCAAGGACACTAGGTCATCAGGACTTAAGGTATCAGTGAGACTCCTGTGTCTGCAGAAGCAGCTAGAACTTCCATGCTGAACTGGGGAAGGCCTCCCTCAGAAGGCCCTCAAGTGTGGGGATGGCTCTGCTGTCACGGGTGGGGACCTCTCTGCTGTCACTGGCTCCAGAGTCTATGCTCTTCCAAGCACGCACCTGCCACTTCTTGCCATCCTAGAGACTTCAGGGCTGTTCTGAGGACTCCTATATTCCAGGATGAGGGGTGCCCTTGGTATTTTTTGTTACCTAGCATGGGACAGGCAGTGAGAAGCCTGGGCCTAGCTGGTGCTGATGAAACGTTCCTGGCTCACAGACTGTGGGGCCGTGTGGAGTGTTCATCTTCTGATGCTGGCCCCCATAGGGGTGACACTCAGCCTCCTGACCCTTGCTCAGTTTAACTGGACACCTTTTTCTCTGGGCTCATTTCATCTGGTGGCCACTGGCTCCTGTGGACATTCTGAAGTTGGGTTAGGGGCCACAGTGTCCTTGTGCAGAAGAATGGCCTCCTTATGGTGCATCACAGTGAGCTGGGTATGCTCCAGAGCCACAGAGAGCGGGAGGATCCCTGGGTCCACCGTGCCCTCTGGGTGGGCACCAGAGGGAAGAGCTCTCAGATAGAACACTTGGCCCGTTTTCAGCTGAGGCTGGCTAGGATGCCTGAGTGTAAACCAGTTGTAACGTGCCACGTTACTCTTAGTGGTCCCGGGTGAAGGTCTGCCACTGTTCTTAAACTCAAGCAAGACAGGCTTTCCCCCAAGACCTTAGAACAACTAGCTATCTTCAGGCAAGAATCTTAAAGCTTGATCAAGACACAGGGACAGTAGAGGCACCTTCTGTGACTGGGAAGCGGGATTCTTGTCTTCACCAGACCTGGTCCAGGAGGCCACAATGCATGGGGAGATCACAAGGCAGGGTGTGGCCTAAGACAGAGGACCATTCCCATTTCTGTTGAGCTGTTTGTTCTCTGCCTTATGGGTCTGGAATGGAAACTAGGCTGTGTGTGAGCCAGGCCACACTTGGTATCTGAGTTAGAGTGGCATGTCAAGGAGGCCTGGGGTAGAAGAAAGGCCTGCTTCTCTACTGCCTGCAGCCAGAAGTCCTGAGATATTCAGGTGCTGTTCAGGCTTCTCACGCCCCATGAGAGCTGTCGAAGCTGTACAGAGCTGGATGGGCCATAGCTGGGTTGTCCCTGAGCTTTCAGGGCCCTGGCGTCTCTGTAAGTGGCTAGCTGGGAGACTGGTGGTGCTCTGAGAGTCTCGATGCCCAGCCAGCTCCCTCTACACAAGTAACCTTCTGGTTTTAGGGAAACCCATGGCCATAGGTAGTCCTAACACCAGGAGAGCAACCCTTGGCACGACTTCTGGGGTTGACTCACTGGACTCCAGTCTCAGGCCTACCACTTCCGTGCTGTACAGTGTGGCACGGGTCATATAGCCTCCCCAGTTATTGTATCTGTATGTTAGCAATAACTATACTAGCACTTACTACACAGGTTGCTGAGAAGATTATTCATTCATAAATGCTTAGTACTTAAAACAGTGCCTGACATGTGATGTGTCTTTCTCCTTCCTTCCTCCTCTTTCTTTCTCCTTCCTTTCCTTCCTTCTTTTGTTTTGTCGGTGCTGATGATGGAATTCAGAGCCTTGTACCATGCAAGTACTCTGGGCCCTTGGAATTTTATCTGTTTGTTACATTTATCTGTGTGTGTGTGTGTGTGTGTGTGTGTGTGTGTGTGTGTGTGTGTGTATGTCCTCATGTGTGTGTATACATGTGCACATGCTACAGCACAAGTATGGAGGACAGAGGACAACTTGTCGGATCAGTTCTCTCCCGCCATGTGAGTATGGGGAATGGAATTCAGATCATCAGGCTTGACAGTAAGCGCCTTTCTCCACTGACCCCCGGGCCATTCTGGCCCTGTGTTTTTATCTTTGAGACACGATCTAACTATGTAGTCCAGGCTAGTCTGGAACTCACGATTCTCCTACCTCAGACTCCTGAAGGCCGGGATTACAGGCTTGACCACTACACCTGTCACTTTAACTTCTTTGCTTCATGAGGCAACACAGATGTCAACCTATAGTAGGTTAAGGGACCCTCTGGATGAGCCCACTGGATGGATATGAGTGAATAGCAGGACTTAGTCTCAGTGCATATTCAAGGAGCTGAGCGAAGAGGGCTGCTGTCAACGCTTCCCTTTGGAGGTGGGGGAGTCTGGTCATAGCGGGGTGGTTGGTTGGAGGGGAACCCTGCTTGATGCTAGTAAGTGATGTTGCAATTGCTCTGAATGCTGTAGCAATTTCAAAATGTAATTTTGTGGAAATAGTTCCTCTTTCAGAAGAAAGCAGATTTTTCTTTCAAATGCCCTATTTCCCCAATGAAGTCACAGGTTCCTTGGCCTTTTGTCCTTTCTACCAAGTCTTCTCTGTGGAGTCAGAGATTCCTATCTTTTTCTGGGTTCAAGCTCCCTGGTGGCTCCTCACTTTCTTCCCTCCCAGGGTGACATAGTTACCTTTGTGCCACTGGTCAATTTATGTCCTTTAAAACAACAACTTAGCTTGGCACAGGGGGAAGCAGAGGCAGGCAGATCTCCAGGACAGCCAGGGCTGCACAGAGAAACCCTGTGTCGGGGGTGGGGGCATAGCTATTTGTCAGTCTCATGTCATAGTTTCCCTCCAAAGTCTGGCTGCATCAGAGGTGACTCTGGGTGAACTCGACAGTGCTGGGAATAGGAAGGTAAACTTTCCAGGCTTGGCACATTGCTGAGAACACCACAGGCATGCAGTGAAGGTCTGAGCTTAGACTAACTCGGATTGTGTAAAGAGGACTACTAGACCCATGTGGCCAAGGTAATGTGCCCAGCTGTGTTGGCTTGGCACGTGGAGACAGCCTTCTCTTTCAATTACCTTAACCTCCATAGGTGGCACACTTGGTCTTGCTCCCTGGGTCAGGAGACATGTAGGAGTCAGAGGGGCCCTAGTTCACAGCCAAGGGAAGAGGGGGCCCTGGTTCACAGCCAAGGGAAGAGGAGGCCCTGGAGCATGAGGACAGGTGTGAAAGCATAGGACTGTGATACACCCAGTGCTGGCTCGGAGGAACAGAAGAGAGGGAAAGCCGGGAAAGGGGCAGCCCTTGAGCTGGGTTTCAGTGCTGGGGAGGTGAGCAGGCAGAAGGTGGGAAGTCTCCCTCCGGGCTGAAGGAACAACACATGCCAAGGTCCAGCAAGCCTCCAGGCCTGATGAAGATGCGAGAGCAAGCCAGCAGGCCAGGCTGGAGCAACAGCGCCTGGTGGGAGAACCTTGCAGACTGACCCAGGACTGAGGGCTTGGTACAGGGGTCTGGCACCCTCAGGTGCTAGCCCGAGAGCAGCCCACACTTACTTGGATCTCATGTAAAAGCCCTGGAGCCACAACCAGGCCAGCACCAGCATCATCAGCATGTTGGGGAAGGCAAATCCAAACCAAGATGCAAAATTCATGGCGTCTTTACTGTCAGGAAACAATCTGAAAGGAGAAATACTAGTCTGTACCTCCACGGCCATGCTGAGCTGTGGGGAGCAGGTCAGGCAGATGAACCCTGAGAGATGGATGGGTCTGACCCCTGGCCACATAAGCCTGGGGTCCAGACATCAGAGTCCATCATTGTCTGGGACCCCAGAACATGGTCTCAGCAAGAGATGAGACTGAAGAATGAATGAGTAGGGACCCTTCTGTGGGTACAGATCCTGCTGAATGTCTTGTGCAAGCACAGCCCAAGCTCCTGGAAAAGCACACCTTTGCCACTCACACACATGATCAGCTCCAGGGAGCGCACCGATGCCTCTGAAACCTCACTCTGTATGTTTCTGCGGGGACTTCCCTGTCGACAGCAAATCTTAAATCTCCACTCCCTGCCTTCCTCCCAACCCAGACTCTGCCTCTCTAAGCTCTCTTCTAGCCCTGATTAGCTAGAACTTGCCCCACGCAGCCCAGGCAGGCTGGTGGTTTGTTTGTTTGTTTGAGTAGAATTTAAGGGAAAGTCCTAGACCTGTGATCACAGAAAGAACCCTAGTTATTGATTCTCAAGTGTTTGACTTAGTCTGGCTGCTGCCCTGTCTGCCACTCTCTCCTTCACACCTCAGTTCCAGTGCCAGCTGCCCTCCCAGAGTTGCCTGTCCAGAGCTCTTGTCTACACAAAAGAGGCTCCTCCTCCTTTTTGTTCCTTACCATTATAATTTGTACATACATCAATTAACACATTTGTTTGCCAGCTGCCTGAAGATCCCTGTCACTGGCACCCCCAGCAGACCATGAAAAGCCTGAGGGAGCCCAGACTTCTTTCCCCTCCATGATCTTCCAAGCCTGCCCTGCACAGGGCAGAGCCCACACATGGGATTCTCACAGCTTATGTCCCTTTGCAGTCAAAGGCGGACACTTCTGGGCTACTCTTGTAGCGCACCCGAGATCTCAAGGGGGATACTCGGTTAATGGGCGAAGGAGACTGCAAAGCAATAGGTGGCCCAGCCCCAACTCTCTGTGCCATCTGTAGACCCTGAAGACCACAGGACCCTGGCCATTATCAGACAATGTTAGTGAGCTGGGAGGGGTTCTTTTAGAGCTGTCTGCTCTCTGTGAATTCAGCTCACTGCCATTTCCTAAGATGTTAGCTCAGAGTCCAGGTCACGTGCCCTGTCTGAGACAGAAGCCCTGAGTTGGATTAAAGAAGTTGGATTTGTCCCATGGCAGAAAGCAGCCTTGCCTGTGAGTTCCAGAATGTCAGGTCTCCATTCCCTGGGAAGACTCTTAGTGGGTGCAGGAATGTGGGGACACAGAGACTGTATGGGTTCATCCTCCCACCCCCCCTAGGCTGATGGCTCCAGGGCCAAGACAGGAGGAAAGGAGAGCCGAGTAAGAGCCTCCAGCCCCAGAAACCCATGGTGATGTCTCCTGAAGGCACAGTCATGACTCACTCCTGCATCTGGCCCAGGAGCACCACGTTGGGTCCCGTCCCGGTCAAGGTGGCCGTACCCCCAATGCTGGCTGCATAGCACACACATAGGTTCATAGCCTTGTACATGTTCTTTGTGTCTTCATCCTCCTGCTTCTGCACACTGAGGTCTTCGAATATCACCTGGTTTCCTAGGGTGGACATGGGGCTATTAGCCAAGTCGGTTTTGAGAGCCACCCAGCCACCTGAAGCTCTTTACTCTGCTTTTAATGTGAAGTCAGGCACGCACCTGGCCAGGTGCACATGTATTCCTTAGCTCTAGCCCCCAAATCAGAGTCAGGTCCCATCTGCCTTTCCACTCTTCGCATGTCTTCCCTAGGTGTTACCTCCATATACTTGCCAAGCTCAGAAACTTAAGGCATGTATTTCTATTTCCTGGATCCTTCCTGTTTGCTGCTCAAGACACTCCCTGCAGCCAAGGGTATCTCGGTCTACCTCCGATGCCTCTTCTCCTAGTGATGTCCTCCCTCTCTGAGCTGCCATGCTGTCCAACCTGCCTAAGGCTTCTTCGTTGAGCAGATGACTCGGGAGAGTGTGCCCACTTAGCTCCCACGGAGCTCCACAAGAGTCAGTGGTCAGAGTGTGCCTGTTCGTTCTCATGTTGCCAGGAACTCACCCAGGGCCTAGAAACCAGGCAGTAGCCACAGTTCCTGAGTTGCTCCCATGCAAAGTTCTGGGGAAGAATAGGGACTAGGTGGAGGGTGAAGCGGACCCTATCCTGCGTCTTCTAAGCCAAGAGTCTAGTAGGAAGCAAACACCGAGACCTGTGGGAGTGGAGTCAGGGGTGACCTGCTCAAGGAGAGCCAAGAAGAGAGCCCCAATGAAAATAAGAGTGGGAAGGGTGAGGAGCATTGATTAGGTACTCAAAGATTCCTGAAGGAATTATCAAGTGGATAATCAATGCTTTTTTTCGTGGTACCAGTTAGGATCTCTGGTTAAATAACGCAGTGTTCGAAGCTTGAGTAAAGGATCTTCCTTTTACATGATAGCCAAAACCCAAATACTAACAAGCAAACTATCTCCCTATTTCTTCCCTCTATGCATGTTAAAGGAAAGGCACAGGGAGACTGAGAGGAGGGAGGTAGTCATAGCATCCGGTAACAACAGGAAAGGCCATGGTTGCAGTAACTAAGCCAGTGCGTACCTGGAAACTCGCCGGCTTTGTCCTTGTCAGACAGCTCCACTGTCCCCTGGCAGGTATCCACAGCTGCATTTGTGGCTACCATTTGCTCCAGCATGGCCTCCACGATGGGGACCATCATGGCTGTGGTGGCAGTGTTGCTGATCCACATGGACAGGAAAGCCGTGACAGACATAAAGCCCAGCATCAGCCTGCAGAAGAAGGGCAGAGAAGAAAGCCAGAGTCCCTCGTGTTCTACCCACCGCATCCCGGGGCACAACGAGGAGCTGGAGCCACCCTTCCTGCCAACTCCAGACCAGGTGTCCCAACATGCGGTGGCAGTTTGAGTGGCTCTCTTCTCCCCCTTGTCTTCCTTCTTCCCTTCCCTCCTTCTTCTTCATGGCAGCTAATTTTCATTGTCAGCTTGACTGGGTTAAGGAACGCCTAGTCAAGTACACTTCTGCATGCGATCATGAAGGACAGACCATGGGATCATGCGGGCTCAGGTGCAATGAATAGAGTAAACCCTCAATGGATTTATAAATGTGATGGCATCATTGGGAGGTGGTAAAACGTAAGAAGTGGAGTCCATGACCTAGCCAGCCATGTGGTTGGAGCCCAGTCAATGGTACAGACATGAGTTTCATCATTTGGAGAAGTCCTTAAGTCCAATCAGAAAAACTGGTCGGTTACTCCCATATCATTGTGTCCCAACAACACCGCAGGGCATATGGTGGATACGGAAGAACTGGGGGTGGGGTGGATTTGATAAAAACACATTATACGCACATGTGACGTTCTCAAATAATAAAAAAGAGGTGGGATCTAATTGGAAGAAATATTTATTGGGGCTTATCCTGGTGGTATATCTTGCCAGGACCTCTGGCTTCTGGCTCCCTCTCTTGCTTCCTGTCTGATGTAAGGGAATTTCTGCTACCACACACTTCTGCTGCCGTGATATTCTGATCATGTATAGAAGACCAACCACAGACTGGTCACCATCCAAGGCTAAAAGCTTAAGTACATCTTTCTTCCTTTAAGTTCTTCCTTTTAGGAATTTGGTCACAGACACGAGAAAAGTAACTATAGATTCCCGACAGTCCCTCTTCTCACACACATTTCTGATGTCTATACTGCGGTCTGCGGAGTCAGAAGGAGGCCTCAAACTCAACTGTGGTTCTAGCAAACTCCCAGTTAGCAGGGAAGTTTGCCTTAGCAAGACCCAGGGTGTGGTAGAGCAGCCCCACATGAAGTTCGAGTAGCTTTCTGCATAGATCTAGAAGATTCCCACTGTCTTACATAGAGCCTCGCCTCTCCTAAATCGCAAAGATCAAAGCAGAACCATTTTGTTCGACCCAGAGACCAACCCTTCCCCTGGGGTGTTGGACTCTGTCACACTCCACTCTCCAGGGGCCCCTGTAGAGCCATGTGGCCAGGGGAAGAAGGTGTACTTACCGCGAGGGCTCGGTCCCCACAAAGAGCAGCATCCTCAGGGCAATTCTCTTGTGAAGTTTCCAGCGCTCCACAGCTGAGGCCACAATGAGGCTGCCCACGAACAGCATGTTGGTGTCCTTCATGTACTGGACACACACCTGGAGAGTGGCAGGGGTAATCCCTAGTCACATACTACTTCAGTCCAAAGCTGCTACCCAAGTCACCTAGACAAAGCCAAGCAAGCCAGATGGTGATTTTAAAGGTAGCGTGGGGTGGACTGTCTGCATCCTTGTCCTCAAGGGATCCACCACTGGACCTCTAGGCCTTGGGAGTTCAGAGGGGCTCAGAGAAGGGGGCGGGTACAGGGGAGGACCGCGAGCCGCCAGTCAGCTTACTCACCTGCTTGGAGTCCAATACCTTCAAAAGGGGGAAGAGCAGGACAGGCAGGAGGGAGGTGACGGCCACCGGGATGACGTCGGTGCACCAGTAGATGGCCATGAGGATGACTACGTAGGCACACCTGGCAAACTGAGGAGACAGTTCTGAGGCCTGGAAGGCTCCACTCTGCATCCCAGCTTCATAGGGGGAGGGGGCACGCTGCCTGTGTGGTGGAGGAGCCTTGGTCCGGGGCAGCGTGGCTTTCCAAGGCTCAGGACAGACAGGGCGAGTCAGGCTGTCCCTAAGTCTAACCTGTCCCTGCCCCCTTCTTTCCTGCTGTGTAGTCCAAGCACCACCATAAAGCGAACAAATGTTTTCAGAGGAAGGTTGCACCCCATAAATGGCCCAGGACACCTCTCTATCCAATGAAGCAGTTTCCCAGGCACATGCACTGACATTTGGGGGGAGAGACAAGTCCTCAGTGTGGGGAGCTGTTCTCTAAACAGTGGGATATTTAGCATCACCTTGTCCTTCATTTCAATAGACAGTGGTGACATTCTCTATGGAGATCAAAAAGCCATCTCCGTAATCTATACATTTCCGGCAGTGGGCAGGACAGACAGTTGAAGGATTTCAGGGACTGTCGTCCCAAAGGTGCCCCGAAATGATGATTATTTTGAACTGACAGAAGGTAGGAGACAATAGATTCTGGGTGAGATTCTACTCTGAAGCTGTCTATCTGCTTAAAGTCGGGCTCAGCCAATAAGAAGCAGCCGTCTCTGATCCCTTCTCTGAGTCTTCATTAACTAACTCACAAGTAAAGAAGATGAAGTCTGAGCAGGGCATGGTGGGGCCTGCCTGTAATTCCAGCATCTAGAAGCTGAGGTAGAAGGACCTTTGTAAGTCTGAGGTCAGTTTGGCTTATATAGGGAGCGGCAGGACATCTTGAACTACAAAGCAAGATTAAACAATAACAACAAAAAGTCACTTGTCACATAAAAGCCCCAAACCGCCAAATCTGTCAACATACCTTAGGGACACTTGTCACATTCCATTGCCCTCCATCTCAGGCACTATCTCATTGTCTATTCTGTGGGACCCAGTGGACTTGTCCCTGACCACTATTTGTTTCTTTAAACTAACAGGATTACCCTAAAAATCATTTAGTACTCCCCTAAAACCTTCTACAGTCCCATGGTTCCCCTCCCCTCTGGAACAGGGTATATGAGCTTCAGTGTTGCTATGGGCTTGTGGGGAGGGATTCATCATCTCCTGTGGGTAATAAATCTCTAGATCTTTCCTCCTCATTTATCTGTCCATGGTCAGAGAGTCAAGAGGGGCATTCCCTTTCTCCCTCATAGGATAGTGGTTGAAAGCCACTGGGGTGGGCTCCAGGGATGGGTGTTAGTGGAGGTTCCTTCTGGGCATGGGTAATAAAAAGGTATGTTGCAGAGAAATTTTAAGTAATAATGCTGAAAGCCGGTCTGTGTTGTCATGGTATAGCAATTCTAAACAATGTCACTCACAAGTCTCCTCCCCTCTTCCAATCCTGGTCCTCTTTGAGCTCATTTTTCATCCTTATCTGTAAATCACAGAGTGTGTGACACCCAGAAACTCCTTTTTTCTCTTAATTCAGACTGTAGATGCCCTATGACCGTTCTCACTGCCCCTCGAAGAGGATGGAACACAGGGCTGATTGCCTCGTCTCCACCCCCTAGCAGGAAATCAAGGAGATATCTCATCCCTGAATAATCCATCAACCCACTCGACACACCCTAATCTAGGCTCTCACAGTGTCAGAGAAGCGTGCAAAATAGGAAAGAGACGTTGGAAAAGTCAGAGGGTGGCCATGCAGGAGAGAGAGCTCAGATAGGAAAGTCTGAGCATGGGGACCTGAACTTGATCCCTAGAACAAATCAAAACCCCAGCTGTGTCACACACAGGGGGTTCGTGTACCGGCACGAAGAAGGTGGAGACAGGCCAGACTAGCCTATATGGCCAAATCCAGGCCTCTGAGGATCCGCTCTCAAGAAGCTAAATAGATGGCAGCTGAGGAAACAAAACCTGATGTTGGTCTCTGACCTCCCAATACACAAGCACACACATACGTGTACACACACACAAACAAAACACAGATGTCTAGGGAGGAAGTAGTAACCTTGGGGGAGATGATGAATTCTAAGTAAATCTACTGCACTTCCCTACCTCTGAGAAGGTGTCTGGAAAAGCAACAGAAGCTGAGATGGAGGTAGGCACTGGGGTTTAAAAGCCAGCGCTCAGCACACACAGAGCCTTCACTCACAGAGGGGTCCAGGAGGCACCCTGTGCACAGTGGAATCAACCAGGGCTGAGGGTTCATCTGACAGCACTCACACATTGGTCAGTAAGGGGCGTGTTCTTATCCCTGTGCCCTTAGGTGATTGGCATTGTTATTGTCAACTAAGGCAAAGTGATGTGGCTATGACATCATTACGTGGTATAATCTGATTGAGCCACAACTGTAGACCAGTGTTGAATAAAATGACCTGATATTGCTTGTTACACATTGCATAATGAAAATGAAGTAGGCAAAACTCCCCCCATGTGCGTGTGTGTGTGTGTGTTTGTGTGTGTGTGTGCATGCATGCGTGTAAGACAAGAGATCAACTGATTGGTATTTGGAGAGCTGTCATCAAGACATTAATAATAGGGCAATCAGGGTACCTTATTTTACTTTATACTCGATACTTTACACTTGTGAAAATAAGAGTTTCTTACAAGTTTAACAAAATAAGTGATTGAACTTGTCACCAGTTTTGGTTTTTTTTTTTAAGTAAGTATTCAAAGCAGAGAAGAACTCGAAGAAAGGGTAGGAAAAGTGGATGAGAGAGGAGGCCCTGAAAGGAGCAAGGTGAAGAGAGGAAGATCCCCTGGAGAGGGGCCCTGAGCCACAGAGGGCAGCATATTCTGGGAGTCATCATCCATTTGGGGCAATGGTGCTCAGGCTGCCCCTGGGGCGGGGTCTGGCTGACTTGCTCTCCCTGCTTGTGAGTACTGTGCATCTCTGGGCTTTCTTGCACAGTGAAGGTAACATGGTGACTGGGGGCAGGGTGCTCTTTGGTGGTGATCAAAACAGTGGCACAGAGGGTGACAACAGAAAGCCCAGGGCCCAGGCTCTCAGTACCTAATCCAGTTTGAGGGAAGGTGCTGAGGAGACAGCTTTTGGAAGAAACTTCACTGTGATCTCCCAGTTCCCCAGTCTTCATTCCGAGGGCAAATACACAGACACCGCAGCTGGGAGCCTGACTCCACTCCTTATTCTCTCTCTCTCTCTCTCTCTCTCTCTCTGTGTGTGTGTGTGTGTGTGTGTGTGTGTGTGTGTGTGTGTCTGTGTCTCTCTCCCTGTGTCTCACTCTCTGTCTCTCTCTCTCTCTCTTTCTCTCTCTCTCTCTCTCTCTCTCTCTCTGTGTGTGTCTCTCTCTCTCTCTGTGTCTCTCTCCCTGTGTCTCACTCTCTGTCTCTCTGTCTCTGTCTCTCTTTCTCTCTCTCTGTCTCTCTCTCTCTCTCTCTCTCTCTCTCTCTCTCTCTCTCTGTGTGTGTACATGTATGTGCCAGGGATAAAGTGGGTTCCTAGTTATACTTTCCCCTACCAGGAAGGTCAACCAAGCGACTATAATTATTCCAGGGAACATCACTCCCCAACAACAGAGCTAAAATCACAGCCTTCTGGCCTGGCTGCCTCCCACATACAAGCACAGTCCCAAATCTCTGCGGATGCTCACTCACAGTATGACTACCGAAGAGCTATCACTGTTGGCCTGCTCTCCTTGGCCCATGTGGAGACTCTGCGCAACACGTTCCCTTACCCCATCCTAGGAACCAGAATGATCCCCTTTTACTCTCAAAGTGAATCCAATCACCTCATTGTACCACCCATCAAAGCACCCAGACCCAGAGAGCATGAGGTCTTGGTGAAAGCACAATGTCGAGTGAATAGCGCAGGCATCTGAATGCACCCCTCTCCTCTCAAAACATTCCCTGAAGAGTCCCACTTTTTCCCAAACCTGCCTGTGGAGGGGAAGCAGGATCCGAGCAAGGTTTCCTGTCTGGGCTTGAGAGTGAAAGGACTGAAAGAAGGGATGGAGGAAGGAGCAGCCAGCAGCCACAAAAGGCTTCAAAGAGCTCTGGCCTCGCCAAACTGCCTGCACACAGCCTAAGAGAGTGGGGCCAGGGCTCCCGCCCCTTCTCTGCCCTGCAGCCAAGGCCATTCATTCGCTCCCTTCCTCCCAGGAGCATTAGGAGGCCAGGGCATGGCACGCAGCTTCCCTGCAACCCAGTGCCATGCCACCCAAGGCGTGAGCTCTGGGAACGTGTCCCGCCTCCTGTCACAGCCACAGCAGGCACTGGGCAGTGGAGACCAAGCCCGACCTGCTGTTCAGGCTGCAGCAGGATTTGGACACTGAGTGTCTTCCTTGGTTTCAGAGCTGGAAAGAAATAGGAATCATGGATGGGGAAACTGAGCCTTAAAAATCAATATCATAATGTGGCAGAGGCAGGCCCACACAGGTGATGCTACTTTTGTAGGTCCCTGACTGAAGGTATCTACAGCTGGTGAATGTCTGTTCCCTAGAGAGGAGACAGGCAGGGAAGTTCAGCCCTCTGAGTCCCTGCTGGCTCGAGCATCATCTCTGAGCTGGGGTAGTGCTGGTTGTGCATTCTTCGGGGGAAGATTCTGAATCAGAGGCTAAACCTGTGGCGGGTTCAGTGTGGTTCAGATCTGTCCTAACTTCCAGGTCTCCGTGTTTGCTCGAAAGTTTCTTGCGCCCTACAGTCGGTGCGCTCTAGGATGTGTTCACCTTCGTCCCTCAGATACTTTGCAGGACACCTCCCATCTGGTGCTCGAAGCATCTGAGCACGCACCCCAGGGGAGCTTGTCCCCGCGCGGGGGAATCCGTGCGTTCCAGCTCAGCATTCCCGGGTTCCGTGCCCGTTATTGCACTGGGCACCCGGGTTCCGCCGGGCTGCCCAGACACGCAACTGACCTTGTCAGGTACCAGAATGATGAGTGGAAGCAGCAGGATCGGGGTGAAGAACAAAATCACGAAGGACTTGAACTTGGTCACATAAGTCTTCGCCGAAGCCATCGCGCGGAAGGGAAGCAGACTGGCGGGAGAGAAGATTGAGAGGCAGCTAGAAGCTCCGCGAGCTTTATAGGGGGCCGCGCGGTCCCACCGGACGGGGGCGGCTACAACTCCGCCCCCCATGGCGGGCCCTCCCTGCGGTCCCGGGGCGGAGCCACCCCTCGGGGTCTGTGGGGAACGTCTAACCCGGGACTCTGCCACCCTGTGGCGGAGAGAGGCGTCTGCAGAGTCCAGTGTTTGGCCGCAGCCCTCTATGGAGGAACTGGACCCTGGCACCTCAGCTCTCGCCGAGCCCTTTGGCGTTCTGGACGCCGGCACTACGTAGGGTGTGTAGGTCATTCTGCCAGCTTAAGCGTGAGGACCATTTCTGTACCCGCACCTGCTCTCTCCTGGGCTCCGAAGGGTCCCAGATGAAAAGCTCCACTGGCCTGTAGGTTTCTCAGGCTTCTCTCTCCAAAGCTCTCTCCTTCTCATCCCGATCCCGGAAGGGTGTCTCTTAGAGGCGGTGGCTGAGCCCTGCGCCACCGCGGTCCCCTCACCCCCAGGATCCTCTGGCTTCCCCCTTGCGTTAGCCCTACTCTAGACACAGAACCCATTTCACTCCTCGTGCCCTCTCCCACCCAGCGCACCCTGGACGCTCTACAGGGACCGCTAAAGAAGGCGGTCACTGTCCTCGCAATCCGAACGACTTTCGCCCTCCAGCGGACGCGCGTGCGCAGCCGGCGGGCTCAGCTCTAGGAGCCAGCAGCTGCTGCTGACCACGCGAGGAACACCTAGCTAGTGCCATTTTATGGAGGGAGATGGGGTAAAGAAGAAGGGATATAACCCTGTCAACTTGAGAAAAGTGTCCTTCCTTCCTTCCTTCCTTCCTTCCTTCCTTCCTTCCTTCCTTCCTTCCTTCCTTCCTTCCTTCCTTCCTTCCTTCCTTCCTTTCTTTATTTCATCCTGTCCTCAATAGAGCTGTGATGTGCTAAATCTTGTTTGGGGCACCAAGACAGGAAGATGCAAAGACGTTGGCACCTCTGTGACTTCTTCCTCTCTTCTCTTCTGTCTGCCTCTCATCCTGTGCTGTTTTGGGGAAGTCTTACCTATGCACCACAGGCTGCTTCTTAGACATTACATGACACATGGCTGAGCCCAGATTCCTGTTCAGTAAGCTCTCAACTCCGGTCCAAATGCTACTTTGTTACTGACATTATTAGAGTGTTTAGGCCTAGAATGGCTGCCTCCCTTCTAACCATGGAAGCCACCAGTAAGCTCTAAGTCATACAGAGACCAACTCTTACCGTAGCACTTACTTTGCGTTAGGTGTTGTTGTAAACAATCTGGTGGCAAACTAAAGGATAGGTTATATGCAATTACTACACATTGTATGAGAAGACCCAACCTTTCCACTTCTCCATCCCCAACCCTGCCACCGCCACCCGGAAAGAACCATGGTATTTCCCACCTATCTCAGCCTGTGTAAAAGTCCGAAGCCCTAAACCACAGCACAATGCTTGTGTCAAAATCTTGACTCTATCCTGTGACGTGTCACCACTCTCTCAAGTCTGCAACCACATTCTTCAGGCGCTCTCTCTCTCTCTCTCTCTCTCTCTCTCTCTCTCCATTTTCTATTTTCATTTTCCTGGGCCCCACCCTCTTCCCCTCAGAGCACTTAACACTAGATTTCTGGCTTTTTTTTCGTTTCAAGATTTTATGTGTGTATTTGTATGCATGTGCGCATGTGTACCATCTGTATGCCTGAAGACACCAGAGTCAGAAGAGGGTGTCAGAGCCCCTGGAATGGTGGTAATGGGTGGTTGGGAGCCTCCGTGCGGGTGCTGGGAACTGAGCCCAGGTCTTCTGCAAGAGCAACAAGTGCCACTCTTATCCACCGAGCCATTTCTCTAACCCCTGGGAGGTTTTATTTAATCTTGGTTTTATTTATCACCATGGGCCCACTCAACAGCCTTTACTGAGCTTTGGGTGTGCGCTCAACACTTTCTCTCTGGGATATATAAAGCAAGTCAGCCACTCTGTTATAATTCAAGTGCTCTAAAGAGGGTATAATTTGTGCTCTGCAGTAAGATCCCTGAATCCTTATTCTGTCCCCGTGTTACCTTCGTGTTGTGTCTGTCTGCGGTTTCTTTTCCGATTCATCTTCTCACAAGTAGAAAGAATCATACCAACTTTGATTTCCAGTAGCTGTTGGAGACCCTGAGTGAATGTTCTGAATAATCAACAATCAATAGTATTGGCTCTTGCAATTCTATGCAACACACTGTGGGTGCCCTTGGGCAAAAGATTCTCCAAGTGTTCCTAAGGCTTTACAGAGGAGGTGGCATCTGAGTGGAGATGTCTTTGCTAGACATCCGGGGAGTCAGTAAAAACCACCACCGAACAACCTCTCACACATGGAGTGTTTAGATTCAAATTCTGTGTGTGTGTGTGTGTGTGTGTGTGTGTGTGTGTGTGTTTACACATGAGGGATTGTGAGACAAAAAAGATCCTGGGGGAGAAGAAACCCCACCAGACGTGTAAAGGGAGTAACAGGACACATAGTGTGACATGAAGCAGAAGGAGGACTACCCAGGGGGAGGAGGGAACCCATGGGAGGAGGCACAGAGAGGGACAACTGGGAAGGGGAGAGTGAAAGCAAATGACACACCAGCACGAAGATGTCATGGTGGAACTCTGAATGCTAACCAAAAAATTTAGCCAAAAATAAACTTCAAAAGGGAATTGCTAAAAATCATCCCAAGATAATCCAGGGATATCAAAAACTGCAGTGTCATAACAAAAACAAATTGTTGAAGAGTTTATGCCAAGTACATGGGCAGGAAAACTACACATTCTAGAAATATCCATTCTCACTCAACCTATAAATTCAATTCCAATTGAAATCCTTATAAGATCGTGTGTGTGTGTACACCCATCATGCACACCATAGTTAAACCCTGGGTATCATTCTTCAGGAGTCATCCACCTAGTTTTTTGAAAGGTTTCTTTCTGGCCAGGAACTTAGCCAGTAGGCCAGGCTGCCTGGTCAGAAAGTCCCAGGGCTATGCCCGTCTCCATCTCTACCACATCTGGGTAAGTGGGTGCTGTGGACCAAACTCAGGTCCTTATGCTTGCATAGTAAACACTTTACTGAGCCATCTCTCCATCACCCCCATCCAGGGATGTACTTTACAGAGTGATCTCCCCATCGCCCCCATCCAGGGATGTACATTACAGAGTGATCTCATCACCCCCATCCAGGGATGTACTTTACTGAGCCATCTCTTCATCACCCCCATCCAGGGATGTACTTTACAGAGTGATCTCCCCCGCACCCCTCATCCCCCCAAGGGGCTATTTAATCATAATATTCAGGCAGAATATAAAGTGGTAAAGAATAAAGATAATTTTAGAAAGCAGTGAATTTTATAGACATCTGTCTGAATCCTTTCACACAATTTTAATCTTAAAACTGTATTAGAAATCTATTGCTATTACAAGAGCTCTGAAGTGTTTCATTAGTAGTACAGAGAAATTGGGGGATTTTTATCAGATTTCAAGAATGGCAAAATTATAATAGCTGATATATTCATTAACTGTTATAAATGAAAAGACAAAACCAGAAGGGTATAAATTTAATGGTCTCATACATCCATGGAAATGACAACAGAATAAAGATCGCAGGGATAGTCTATGCCTCCATTCAGCTGTTGGATTTACTAGGGTTTTAGCAATACCGACATTTTTTTCCTTCACAAGATATACGAAGCATGCATAGGAAAAATTGGCCATGACCCCCAATAAGGTAACTTCTGAGTTTTTTTTATCATTAGTCCTAAGTATTCCCAGAAGCTGAGCATAACCATCACCTATGAATGTACCTCTATTTACCAAAGGGATGTTCCATATTCATCCTGTCTCACAAATAAATCTGGCTGCCTAATTACATTGCATACTGATAAATGCAGAAATAAAATGAGGATCGTGACAAATTATAAAATGCATACATTACATTGCACTCTATAATCTTGATGGCAGTGGTATGGCCACCTCAGTAACCTTGCCTCAGGGTTAGTTCTGTATTTTTTAAAGATCTCCTATTTATTTTAATTATGTATATGTCTGGAGGTATGTATTGCAGTGCTTGAGGAGGCCAGAAGGAGGTAACAGGTCCCCCTGGAACTGGAATTAGAAGTGGTTGTGAGGCAACTGAAGTGGGTGGGAATTGAACTTGAATTCTCTGAAGAATAGCAAGCATTCTTAACAGCCGAACCATCTCTCCAAACCCTCACTCTCAGCTTTTTCAAAATAATAGCTCTTTCTGAGTGGTGGTGGCACACACCTTTAATCCCAGAAGTCAGGAGTTTGTGTGAGTTTGAGGACAGCCTGGTCTGCAGAGTGAGTTCCAGGACAGGCTCCAAAGCTACACAGAAAAATCCTGTCTTGAGAAAACAAAACAAAACAAAAACCCTCAAAATATGAATTCAAACATTAAGATGCTTTTATTGAACTCACAAATTTTTAACTGAAAGTAACGGTCATGATGCATGTAAAATTGTTCAGGGATATTTAGTTGATAATGGTTATACAGTATGATAATTTTCACCCCTCCTGGATCATTTTATTCAATTTCAACCTTAAAACAAAGCTAACAGAAGTCTGCAATTCGTGCAATAACTGTAGAACGAAGTGTTTCATCTATTTGGCATCAACTATAATGTGTAATTTATACTCTACAGTCAAAACAAAATCAACACTAAATTTTTGAAAATGCACCATTCGAAGGGTGAATTTCTTAACAAACCAGGGACGGTGTAGAAAATCGGGACAAGCATGCTCTTGGGCACAGTAAGGCAGCAGATGCAACTTCTCCGAAGGCAATCTCCAGGCTAGAAACACATCCAGCAAAAGCTTTCAACTCCACAAACTACCAAAACGCATGCAAACTAAACACTAACACTCTAACACTCTGCCATCTCACTGACAAAATTGCTGGCTTATAAACCATCTGCTGAGCAGAAGCATCAAATGACAAAACCGCCTCTGAACTATATCCATTGATTTTACACGGGGAGAGTAGAGAGTATTAACAGAGCTAAGAAAGCCTGACCTTTCCACAGGGCAATCAAAGTCTACTTTGGGAAATCTTACGAATTAACATGAGGAACTGTATTAAAGGCTTGCACCATTAGGAAGATTGAGAACCACTGTGCTAGAGTGGAGGAAGCCCTGAGTAAGTGAAGTCCTGAGTGAATGTCTGCTACTGACAGGGGACAGCCACATCAAAGGACTATAGCCTTAGACCTGTGGGGGAACGGCAAAATGCCCACACCAACCCTGAGATAAGGTTCAGAGAAAAGGCAAAGCCTTTCACTGGGGTCCAAGTGTAGGTATTAATAATGTGTGCAGAAAATGTTCACCATAGCTTTCTGACCCAGATGTCTATGACCTGAAATCTGCTCCCCTCCGAGGCTGCTCCTACCCAGTTCACCTAAACCTGCCTCTGCGATCCTGAAATGCTGCCTCCTTGTGTATCTCTCTGCAATAGCCCTGAAATCTCATCCAGCTATAGCCAATAACCCCTCCTCTCTCTTCAGACTTATATAGTAAACATGTTGAATTTCCAGAGTGCGGAGGCTTCTCCACCAGAGAACGCAGTCCA